GTTTCAAAGGCACTCAACATGTTTCAAAGGCACTCAACATGTTTCAATGTCCTAGATAAGGCATGGAGGACGATCATTGGGGACTGGAGTCTCAGTCTTGACAATATCACCCATGTGCTGTTCTACTCCATGGGCCTGGAATCATCTATACGACCCCGTTTCAACCACCCCCACCGCCTGACTCGGGAGGAGTCAGGACTGCCAGTCCCAGGAGTCAGTATAGCGGACTTGGGTCATGGGTCCTAGCCGGACTTGAGGACTTGAGCTTGTTTCGCTCTTCCATGCAATATCTACCAACACCTTCATGTCGCGGTCACCTGGCTGGAAGCCCCTATACCACTAAGGGACCTCAATTGGACACCCCTTGAAGGTCCAGGTATGTATCATGTACCAGCAGTTTCTTGGGTGTCCATGATCATTGTCCACTCCTATCCACTCACGTAGGGTCCCGGTCTAAAAACCACCGCAGACTGCAACTCCTGGTACATATGTCCTTTTCACTGCAGACTGTGTATAGGTTCACCTTCCTTTCTGGGTACTGTACAGCGGTATCAGTATCACAATTTTTTGTGAAGACTGGCATGTCCCTCTATTTTTGGTGCGCGGTGCCCCTGGTGCTTTGATGGAAGGTTTTCCGATTCTCCCTCCTAAAGCAGTACATTCTGGTAATTTGACTTGAATGTACAAACTGCATCAAACTAGTATACGGACTTAAAAGCATGTGTTACTTGCTGGGCACTAACATGGAGAATGAACCTACTATCTTGTCCCCCAAGAAAAAGGCTACCATGTTTCATCCATGTTTCTGTACGTCGCAAGACGAGCTGCTCGCTATGCCGACAGTGATGCCGAAAGCTATCTAATGACCAGGCACGGGCCCCCCAACTCAAAACACTGACATAAAGAGAAAACTCCGGGCTTCGAGACACTTCGCTGCTGTTTTTTTTGACTAGCGTCTTGTTCAGCAGTAGCAGCGGTGCATCGCTACTATATACTTTAGCAAGCTGGCTTCTCTCCCTGCGTTTCAGGTGCTATCAGCACCAGGGGGGTTCTCTTGGAGCTCAGTGGAGCTCCTCTTTTGGGTGGTTTCCCCATCACTCCCTCGTCCCTCCTCGTCCCTCCTCGTCCCTCCTCGTCTCGGCACACGCGCGTCCGAGGCCGGGACCATCGCCTCGGTGCCGTGGCGGAGTCTCCAAGAGGGGACGGGGAGAAGCATGGGAGGTCTGGGAGGTCTGGGAGTCCCGACTGATGTCGACTGGTTGGTTGGAAATTCCGGGGGTCACGGACGAGTCCCGATGATTCTCAGAAGAACTGCTGAAAAGCACATGATTATGAATAGGTCTGACATGGTCTACTGGATGACCCGAGGCAGTTCCTCACTTCGGTGGTGGCAAACTATCAGTTGAACTGGATTTGGAGGGGTAGAGATTCAAATTCATGTCCTGGTCTCTGGAGGTGGCGATGGAGGTTCCATTGTTTGGTGACCACCAGGTACAGGGGTTTCACCACGAATCAGATAGATATTGATATCACAGGCACAACTACTGCCCACGGAGGATCCAGAGTGGTTGTCAAAGTCAATCCTTGTATATGGATGGTTTTATGGTTGTCCTTGGTTCCTTGAAAAGTAGCAAGTGTGATTTGCTAGGTAATGACAAACTTAAAGCCTCTGATTGTACACTTGTAGGACATGAAAGATGGTCTAGTTTCGGACTCCGTTCCAGTGATGTACAAATCCCTTGTTGCTTTGCAAAGCACCAGACCAGCAAGCAGTTGCAAATTGCAACAAGAGACAATTGGCAGTTTATGTAGCAGCTTATTCAATCAATTTCTATATTGACATTCCGAATAGAACTCAGAATGTGACGTCCCGCTTGGTGATTTGACCTGGATTTCTTGGTATTATCATTGAATCATGTACGTATGATCTAGAGTCAGACTATATATATATATTACATGTTTCCTGGACTGCAGTTGGTTGTTTAGATCATTCACAGGATGAACATAGTGCGTTGGTACCTCCAGGTTACTGGAAGCCGGTGGTCCATGGAGGGCAAACCTGAAGTGCCCCATGGTCTGAACGAACATCTCCACCAAGCACTGCTTCCTCCTAAGCCAGCCAAACAGCCCAACACAGCAAACCCAGTAGCAAAGCAAACCCTTATCAAACACTTGTGAGTCAAGAGTTGGGGTGTGGATCGATGTGCTTTTCCATGTAGGAAGATCTTCATTCATGCCCTTCATCCATGCCGCCCTCCGCGCACGCCGCGTGAGCGTCCCCCTCTCAGGTGCTGGTCATGCAGGAAGACCTTCTGGTCACGGTCACCAATACCTATGTAGGTGGCCCGACCCGCCGGGCGGTCCATGCCAGTCGTCAGGGCCGGAAGAGGAACGCATGGAGACATGAAGAGACACCAAGTTGGACCAAGTGGAGAGAACTCGCAGAGATTCTTAGGGAAGTCATACCCTCAACTACTTAGGGTCTGGAATCAGTGCACCCCTAGTTGCCGGTATGGGAAGTCGGTATGTTATTTTCGTTCGAGGTTTTCGTTCTTTTTGTTTGTCTCTTGACATCTCGTGTCAGCAGGTTGTGGACCGAATGGATCTCTCTCTCTCTCTATAGTGTCAGCGGCGCCGGTGTGGATCCGGATGGGGCCATGAGACTCGTACAGCGGTGGCAACCGAAGACTCGCCAGGCGGCCACTACATCAGATCCTTCCCGCGCGTCCTTCTCGCACACGATGCACCCAGTGTTTCTGTCAGTGCCACTCGGCAGTTCGTGTTGTGGTGCTTTCAGCTTGTGTGCTGCCCCCCTGAAAAAGCATTGTCGAGCGTTTTGTGTCCAAAGTCACTTGATGCCCAGTGGGCTGATTTTTCATTCCGTGGTTGGGGGGGATTCAGAGAGTTTGGTTGTCTTTGACAAGGCGATGCTGGTTGGGAAAGCTACAAAACCCAAGGAATGCTGGCAAACTTGCAGGACTCTCATACATGAGTTAGGGAAGAGTGGAGAAGACAAAGGAGAGATAAGAACAGCAGAACGTAGGAAGGTTAGGGACAAGCAGAAAGAGGTAGGAGGAGTAGAAAAATTTAGAGATAAGCAGGGAAAACGTGAGACAAGCAGAAGTAGTTGGAGAAAAGTAGGAAGGATGCACTAATGTGCAATATTTTGTTTCTCTTTTGAACTTCCACTGAGATGTTGCGTCCTTCTCTGAGAATCACGTTGCATCGTGTGATGATCCGCCCTGAACAATTCTTGCCAAAAATTAACAGGCCCAGAAGAGGTGGTAAATGGACACCCCTTCACCGCCTATAAATAGACCCCCGAAACAGGGGGCCCTGGCATAGTCTACTTCCTTTAAAGAACCCAGAGCAGCTTCGAACTCGCGTTTTTTTTCTCCGTCGAACTCGCGTGTTCCTTAGGGAACTCACGAGAGGACCAACAAAATTAAGGAAGAACCACGCTGCAAGCAGAAGAGATCAGCGGCATCGACCATCATTTCCAGAAACAGTAGTTATAGACAGTTATAGGGTAATAGGGTGAGAGCAACCCAACATGTAGTTCACCTGCTTCTGTTTCTGCCCTCAGAATCCGGGCCCGGACCCATGGAAAGGGTCGGCCCGGTCGACCGGGTCCAACCCCTTGGCCCTTCCCATGGTCTGCATGGTCCGACGTCCTGTTCATTGAGACACATACCGTGAGACTGGGCACGAGAACCGTGAGACTGGTTGATCCTGCATGAGACTCTTGGAACACGAACAGGACCCCCAGGACCCCGAGGAACAGGAGCCCTGACAATGACCTGTTCTTCTCTTTTTTGGTCGGGCAGGCAACATGGGTTACGTGTGACACACTAGGACGACAAAAACACCTCGCGAATGTGTCGGAAACTGCGCGAGGTGCCAGATCCTTTGCGAAAGATTTTGGCCTTTCGGGACTTCATTGTGGCACCTTGAAGCATGGATCCCACTTGTCGTGGTTTAACGGGGGCGAATCGAATGGATGCCGATGGGGACGATGAAGAAGGAGACCCAGTCGGAGACCCATGATACCGGGATGGGCCACGATCTGGAAGTGGAGACTGATTACTTGTTGAATAGGAGTGGATAGGAGTGGATACACCATGATAGGAGTGGACCATGATCATGGACACCCACCCCCAAACTGCTGGTACATGATACATAGACCCTAGAAGTCCAGGTCGACTATTTGAGGCACCACCCAAGTAAAGGAAGTTCCTGAACTCGGATCACCTAAAGACCGTTGAAAAGATGGTCCACTGGACTCCCAGGGTATATGAACATGTTTTGCCAGGAAGCGGAAGATGTTTAATTGTTCCCTTAAGACATGATCATGATTTGTTCCTTTTTGTTTCATGGGGTTTGCCCATGAACCGTGTGTGGAAACAAGTGGTGATTTGTGCGATGTTTGATGATGTTTGTTGTGTGTCTTTCTAAGACGTGTGTTTGTAATGTGTTTCTATGAGCTCTTGTCATTGAACCGTTCCTTCTCCTTCACCGCCAGGGACCAGCATCAATGGCGGCCATAGGGGATTCGTGGCCGTGGCCCTGGTAGTGTCAAATACCATTTCATGTCATATATACCAGGACCCCTCCATTTGGGGTGTCTATGAATCGCCTAGTAAATAGCCTCAAGACTCTAGAGATGATGTTCTTGGTGGATTCATCCACCGGGCGAAAGGGGGTTGGTCCTCAGACATCATGTATGATCATCTCATGTCATGTGGTCACTTCCCATCTCTGAAAGACTGGTCCTCGAGGTTGCCTCGGGCGGCTAGGGGGCTCCATTTCTCTCTTTTCGGTCGACCTTAATCCCAAGGGATCCAAGTACACGCTCCAAACCTAGATAACAGTGTCTCCAATCACCGTACCTGAGAAGGTACGACTGGATCCTCAGGGTATATTGTGCTCTCTTTCTAAATTCCGAATGCCCGAACTTAAAAACAGCAACCTGTGGACCGCGGCCAAGTCCTCCAGAATTCTCCCCCAGGCAGCTTCTGTCAAGGAGGTCTTCATCCTGCCACATTTCCAGTGGCATAGCTGCAGTCCGTCTCGACGTATGTCCCCATAGCGGGTAGGGCATGTAGATCAGACATGATCAGACAATAAGGGTACCAAAAGGTGGGGGGGCCAAACCAATAATGAAGAAGGCTTTGCGCCATAGTGGAGGTGAACATCTTTTGTTCTACCGCAGTTGACACATGGAAAGGAATGGAAAGACTTCTTTTCTTGGACAATTTCTCTTGTGAAAATTATGAACATAGCATGATCAGACTCTTTAATCAGGTGGGCCCTAGTTTCCCTGATTGAACTGAGACAATCATTTGTTGGGTTTCATACGCAGCTTAAAGATGTCTCTTAAATGTCGATCTAAGAATCTCGTTTTGATGGCAAGGGATGGGCAACGGGTCAGTCATCGATGGCACTCGGATAGCAGCCTTTCCGGGATGATGCATACAACTCGCACTCCAGTGCACAAGTCGAGGGCCGCAGCGACCACCATGGTATATTTTCCCAAGACAATAATTGATTGCTATCTCTCTCTCTCTCTCTCTCCGAACAGCACATATGCATACCATCCTTTAAACCGAAAAGCAACAGTCAGAGTTCTCAGAGAGAAGCTTTTCCCACCCCACGCCCCACCTCGTCCAGACGATGGCTCAACCGTTTCCGCTGTCTTCTCCGCTTTGGCTCAGCCGACGGCCCGACGGCCGACGGCCCGCGCGGCAGGACGTCTGGAGAGGTCCACGAGGCCAACTGGACGGTCCCCAGCGACTCGGCGAAGGCGGAGCGAACGGCGCCAGTCGGACACGTCGCTCAAGCGGCCTGTCGGGTCGGGGGTCAGGAAGGCTCTGCTGGTTTGGCTACAATGTACTTCGTTGAGCATGATTGGAAGGTAACAACTCATGAGCTGCCGTGAGCGCCTTGTGGTTGTCCCTTTTTTTTGTGTGGCATAATACACAGCCCAGCTACCTATTTGGGCTGTGGTGAAACGTTGCTGGTCTCTATTGATACCATAGTTCCTTCCCGTTGTGAGGGGGGGTTTAGCTTTGGCCCTGGCATACATCCATAATCCATCATCCATCATCCGTCATCCATCATCATGCGTCATTCTTTATTCAAGGCCGCCTTGCACCCGGACACGGACATTGGACGTCTTGATGTCCTCGTCGTGTCCAGAACATGACTCTACGTCCCCAAGCTCGTGCGAGCGCCTGGAGTCAGGCCCCCTACGTCCTCGTGCGAGCGATGTCCTGATTTACTGCGCTGAAAAGAATCCCGAGATGTACATTCACATTGAGCCTCATCACACGATGAACCCCCCACACAACCTTTGAGATACACCTTTAAAGCACTTGGAGATTTGAAAACTACAGATTTTACATCGCCCAAACACCATCTTAGACATTGAGCACGCTTGGACCTTGGTCGACTAGCAGTGGACCTGCAGCAGTCATCCGGAGAGGTTGGAGCGCCTTGTTTGGGAGGAGCAAACTGCCAGGAAGTGCCGTAGCTTTGTTTGATTGGCAAGCTGGAGGCTGCAGGAACCTCCACATCCACACTGATGTTGTGCTTCAGAATTTTCTCGGCAAAATGCCAAGCGCGTGGCCTTCCACAACATGCTGGAAGATTCCTGCCAAGTCTCAGTTCGCCACTGGTGCAAAGTTTCGCAGACAGAGAGAACGTCTGCTGATCGCAAAAGGCCACAGAGCGAACAAAATGAGAAAACCGAGCATCAAGAGTTGACTAGTCTTTGATTTAAAAAAAAACGTAGAAACACATGCTTTTTACTGCCAACTACTGCTTTCACCGCTCAGCTGCTCTTCTGTGAGTGGGTTTGTTTCTTTTTTCCGTTTGGCTGCGGGTGCTCCGTTTGGCTGCGTGTGCTCCTCCTGCCAGGTTACCGTAAACCCACGACTTGGGGGGCTTGGGGTGCGGTTGAGGTTGCTGCTGCCGTCTCGTTCCCCCCCCTTCACATCGCTTGTTTCGCTCGTTAGTCTTGGTACCGGGCGCAACTGCCCTTGCTCGTCTTGTTCGTTCTTTCGTGTTTGGCGTTTTACGTGCACGTCTTCTATATGTTTACGTTTTTCCCCAAACAGTTTACTGTTGGGGTTCTATCTTAGAAAAAAAAGAGCTGGCCACACTCACTGGCCGCGCCCCTGAACTCTGTGGCTGGGCTCTGTGGCTGGGCTCTGTGTCCGGGCCTTGTCCTCGTCTTGTCCTCCTCTTGCCCTTGTCTTGGCCGCGCCCCTGTCTGTGACCCGGCTCTGTGTCCGGGTCTTGTCCTCCTCTTGTCCTTGTCTTGGCCGTGCCCCTGAACTCTGTGGCTGGTCTCTGTGGCCCGGCTTACTGGAGAAGAGTGTGGCCGAACAAATATAGCGATGTCGATGCCGACAAAAATCATTGATAAACAAAGCAGTTTGCTCTTGGGGGAAAAGTAGGACATCGGTTTTTGACGAATCGCTTTCAAGCTGTTTGGGGTCTATGCGGGTATAAATTTTTAATATCCGCCTTCAGGAGTTTGTGCCGCTATACCCTATCAGGGTGATGAGCGACTACCACGACTTTAAACAATAAAGCGAACAATAAACAGATGTGTCTGAGTCTGCACTGGAAGAGGTGTGTCCTGGATGGAAGATTTCTCTTTGGATCCGAACTGGATGTCTTTTTGTTTTTTCCGGTGTCTAAGCATACTCAGCGTCATAGAGGTGTTAGAAGCAGTGCTGATATTGTTTTCCATGTTGGCTTCCCATGTGTGGTCTTTGTTCAACCCAACCGTCCCTAACGTCCTCCGAGTTTTCCGTGTCCATCCCGGACGTCCATCCTTCCCACGCCCTCGTCCCGTCTAGACTCTTTGGACGGCCGTGTTACCTGGTGAGAAGGGCATGAACACTCTGCCATCCCTCCAAATGGCCGTTCTGGGCCAGAGTTTTGAACCCCAAAAGGGACTTTCAAAAGACGTCTCTGCAGGTATTGACAGCCTTCTAATGACATGCTGGCTATCAGGCCTGATGTTAATGTCTCTGTTGGCTTTGAACTTAAAAACCTGACTGGTGGTGAATCCCCAGACAAAGACCAAAAGAGTGGAGTGATTGTAGGGAACTGACAGCCGCCGAGTTTGACAGGGCCCCTTCTTGGATCTGGGCCCCCCCTGCTCTGACTGGGCCCCTTCTTGGATCTGATGCCTCTTTTGAAGCCAGATGCTGGAAAGAACACTTGGTCTCGCTGCTGAGGCAACGAATCTGCCACCCAGACCATCATTGATATGTGTACCTCGATCTGCAGAGTTTGGGCGAGGCTTCCCAGCCACCACCCAGGCCACCTTGTGGACTGCCCAAGCGCCGCGCTGATTGCGAGGGGTTTTCAGGAGCCGATGGTTTTTTGAGGTTCGCACGAGTATATTATATGAGCATCGGGTCTGTCCGAACTTACCTGTAACAGTCAGTAAACAATTATTACTATTTTTGAACAAGGCCTTTAATAACCATCATCATCCACTGTTACAGGTATTAGGATAGACCCAAGATATGCAATTCCCCAAAGCCGCTCTTAAGGTGCACCCTCCGAGCCAATCCAGCAAAAACACGAGCCAACTCCTGTGAGTCGACTCCCAATAGAAAGTGGCCAATGGCCTCTTGTTCCGACGAACCTCGATCGAGTCCTGCCGATCGAGGCATTTTTGGGGAGAAATACCTCGCCGTCGCGGCCAATGGCCTCTTGAGCACCATCCCCAGCGCAGCGAGCCGCGGAGGGAACCGAACAGTATGAGCGGCGCGGACAGGCGACATGACACGCTGACATGCCCCGGTGATGAATCACGAAGCGGTGGGGACCGGTGGTGTCTCGGTTGGGCGGTCGCAGCCGAACTTCTGGCGGTTGGATCAACCAGCGAAACAGATGTCCGTCATCGAGGAAAACCCTTCTCTTCCAGCCGTGAGGCTGAGAGGCCATCCAGGTTTGACCAGAAAAACCCGCAGTGGTTCATATAGAATACAATCCACATCGGTATAGCTGAAATATACTCGAAAGGATGTCATGAAATCATGACGCCATGTGTGCCAAACAATATAGTAGATCGAAATCGGTCGTTGCGCTAGTGGCACACACAGCCAAAACCCAGTGAATCAAGACCCCTCCGCCTTGGTCGCCCGAGGTTACCCCGTGGCCTTTGATCATGAGGGTCCCGAAGGACAAGCGAAGCTCTCCCCTCGTCTCCGAGGGAGGGGCCATCACAGTGAAGCTGGTGGATCCCAGGGTTCAATAGCAGGATCTTCCAACTGTGCGACTGTGCAACATTTAACTGCCTTTTCATCTATAATCATCTATAAAACCAGCCAAAAGCCAGACATGTTGCATAGTTGGAAGATCTAGGTATGTCTACGCACTTGTTATTCAGTTTGAGTGGCAACTGGATCCACTGGGAAGTGTAACAGTATGAATAGTGTATTGGATAGCTGGTGACCAGCCTGAGAGCGAAGCAAATGGTCTCCACAATTTGGGGACATACTATTTGTGGACCACCATACGTGGATCTATTCTTGACTTGGACCTTGCTGTTCCTGGTTTCGAAAAGGCAGCTAGGTTGGTTCTACTCCAAAGGCCCACATGGGTTACATCAATTCCCGTATATTCCCGTTGAGTGTTGATCCAGTTCGCGAGGTCTTAAAGCAAAGCCTGTAGAGGCCAGGCACCTGGAAACCATGATGACTTGCTTTCCAGCAAATCCCAGGCAGCCACGAGTAGTACGGTTCGAGCCGAAACGAACCAGAGCCGGTGGTTTTTGCGGTGCATGCTTTAAGGGTAGATGGCACAGACCATCACAGACCTCAAGATTTTTAGAATCTTTCAGTTGGGGTCCATCAAAAGAACATCCACCTTCGGGGATTGCGCATCTTACTCTGAATTCCACTTGCTGCGAGGATTCGGCCACTTCTTCGTCTTCGACATGTCAAAAGCCTTCGAGGCACCAATAGAAGACCCGACGGAGACGGACTGCTCTGAATGGAAAAGGTGTTGCAACAGATTCGTATCAAGTGGATGTCACGCGTGGACCTTTTGTGGGGCAGATTCATGGATTCATGGATGGTACCAGGCAGGTGGGTCACTGATGCGATTTCATGATGAAACGATGTTGAAGGCACCCCACCTCCCCCCACCCTCAAGGGATGGGTGATGCGCTGGTATTCATCGCGTTCGGAATGGGTCCGTGGATGGTTCGCGCCAAACCCCCGCCTGGACGTTCCGCGTTCCGCGCACGTTCCGCACGAGCAGAGCTCGAGCAACGGTCGGGCGCTCGTCATGTTGCTTGTTTGGTTCATGGATGTGATGCCTAGTAGCTTCTTGTTCCTAGTAGGGATGCCAGGAGCCCCGTTCGTAGCGATGCCCTTGCTCCTAGTAGCGATATTATTGTTTCTGTCTTTCTTTGGGATGTGGGACGGGAGCCCTATGGTCTATCCCAGGCCCCTCGCGTTCGGGTTTCCGTTGGGGATCGGATCCGGGGGCGCAGCCCCAACAAATCGCTAAGCTGCAGGTCAATGGAACAAGCTGCTTGGGTTTCTGAAGAAGCCCCAAAGATGTTCTATACCAGTATTACCAGCATATGGGTTTATATGAATATTGCTTTTGAATGCTTTTGAATGCTTTTGACGGCCGAGATGTAAGGCTTGAAGATGGGTTTTGCCTCTGCAAAGTGATCAAACCAAGAACTAGACTTCACCAGCTCTTGCTGTCGGACGGGACTTCACTGGACCGATACCAGTCTTTGAAGACCCAACAGCCTCGTGTATCCCTGAGAAGCCCGGGTTCATCCCTTCACGGGAACGGGCTGAAGAAAGGGGATCGAAGAAGGCACCGTTCAGAAAGGTGCAGGGGCTCCGGTGGGTAGAACTCCCATGACCAGATTCGCTTCAGGTTGGCCTGGAAGGGTCATTGGTTATGACACACAGTGCCTTGGTCGGATTTTTCAAAGGGGCGAGCGTGGAGCGCTGCTCCTCACTGATCTGCGGATCGCGTCCATGATTTCATGCGGTCTTTCTCAGAGTGTCTTGGTTCGATCTTTGGAGCCTTATGTTTGAGTCTGCGGATGTCTATATTTTTCTGATTGTTCTTATATTTCACGGGCGGTTATACACAAGCTACGGGCGTTGATTAGTGAGCCACAGGCGTTTTTTGCACGAACGTGCTTTTTAAGCGGATGTTCAGAACTCGATATGAGGAGGTTAATTGCGCTGCTGTATCAGCTTCCTTGGACCATGACAGGTAATTTGAACGCTCCAAGGGAAAGTGACATCACCCAACGCAATGCTGCTGGTCAGTGCTGGCATGCAACAGTCGTGCATTATCACGCTCGATGCTTGATGGTTTGTGACGCCACCAACGAACGCCTTTTTTCAATTATTCACCAGTTGTATGATCAAGACATCACTGTGGCGCCGCATCGCATTGCTTAGCGCTTGACCTTGCGTGAGGCTGGCCTTCTTTGCCTAGGCGTAGGAGGAAGTCGAGATGAAGCGTTGATTCAGCACATAGCAGAAGTGCTGATGCTTCACTTCAAAAGAACCCTTTGAAGCGGAAGAGGGGTGATGGTGAGAGCAGTTCCTGGCGCATGCAGCAGCTGACAGACACAAGCAGTGGCCGCGTGGCAAACCGCCACCCATCTTTGTGAGACTTCAACTTCGGTTTTCGAAGGCTTCAGCAAAGACGCCCGGCGCGCAGGCATTTCCCATGCGCTTTGGACGACGGATCTCAAGCTCGCTTGCAAGCCCAACTCACCTCATGTGGATTGGCCCCATTGCCTATCGTCCCGGAGGATCGACGGACTGGCAATTCAACACAAACCACAGTATCGTACCGTTCGTATACACCTCGGACTCATAGTCTTCACCCTGCCAACTCCCAGAAACTCAGTCTTGTGTGTTTGTGTAACCGTTTTCAACCCAGCAACTCCCTAGAGTGAGCCCCCGCTGAGCTTCGACAGCCTTTGGATGCGCTCAGGATTCAGACCGCCTGCCTCACTGAGCAAAATGCTACTCAAGGGCAACAATGTGTCAGGTTGGGGCCCCTTGCCTTTAGACGAAATCTTGGAGACTCTGTCCCACTTGTAGCTAGTGCCCGGAAGAACTCATCGTAGAACTCCTGCTGCAAAAAGCACAGTTGAAGTTTGCTCACTCATTCAACTCCAAGTTCGAGCAACCCATATCAACAACAATCACAAAAGAGACAAGAAATCAAATTATCTTCTGAGCCCCTTCAAGAAATCAATTCTCTTCTGAGATCGTTCCCGATGAGCCGGCCGCGGTCAAGACTTCATCGCACTGGAACACCGGAGACTGGCATGCTTGGCCGCACTGTACGCTGTGCAGTCCTCCTCTGGCCTGTGTCTCGTTCTGTCTTCCTGTCCCTGTCCTCTCTTGGTGTCGGTCCCTGTCCGGGCAGCGGTCCCTGTTCGTACCCGGTTCTTGAGACATTGTGGAAACGTATTACAGTTGCACCCGGCGCGCCACAGAAGCGACCAGGCTCTTGGAAGAAACCGATTCTATAGGAACAGTGGCAGAACTGCTAAACATGGAAGACACTTTGCAAGAGGGATGGTGTGCAAACCAACGCCACCAAATCAAGGCCTGCTCAGTTTTTCCAAGTTTGAGAACCGCCGCAAGCTCGGAAAGAGCGGGTAAGCAGAAGTGAGTGACCACCACTTGGTTGCGTGAGTTATGTTTGATATGGCTGCGTTCACTCGAACACGTGCAGCGCCAAGGTTCCTAGAGAGCATTGTTTTGAGGAATGCAAGCCTATTGGGTTCAAAAGTATTTGCAATAGAATGGTAAAGCCTAGGAAAACAACCTCTTTTGGGAATTCAATAAATGGTGCCAAACGACTTGACACTTCCGATATAGCAAAGCCAGTTCAGGGGTTCAATGTACGTAAATATCCCATACATGGAGTGTCTGGGTAGGTTATATCCTCAGCTCAGTGATTGAAACAAACAGTTTCTTCAAGCAGACTGCAATTCTGACACCCACTGGTCGGCCCCACACTTGCATGCACGCAAGCTGTTTGCTTCAGTGTTCTGCACCATGCTTGGACATTGAATTTGGCCACAACCCTAGAATTCGCGCAAGGTGATGCGGAAGCAGGATCTTTTTGAGCCCAAATGAGTGTTTTCCATTCCTGGAAGTGCAGAGTCTCGATGTCTTTCGGTCGATTAGCGCCCAGAAAATAAAGACGAACGATGCCCCAAACATGTTTTGGGGAAAAAACAAGTCATGACCTCAGTCTATCTGAAAGGCCTTTCCAGGAGAAGGCATTTATGGGGGGCCAAAGGCATGTGGCCAGGTAGGCGGCCTTTCCATGGTTTCCATGATTTGGATGTTCGAATTTAATTTCCTTCCACCGGTCTAACGCGTGTGAACCACGGCCTTGGTACGCCTGAGGCACTTCCACCATTTTGTGCGTGAGTCCCATCACTGGCATTGGATTTGCCGTGGGCACCCAGGACAACCAGGTGCGAAAATCGTTTCAGACGAACAGTGCAGGATTTCAAAAACGAGAAACAGTGACTTGTGGTGTAGTTGGAAACTGGAATTGAGAGAACCAACAATGAAACACAATGAACATGACTCTGGCCTTTGAGCGTCGATAGTGGCGAGCGGGCCAACATCGTGCTAAAATGTACAATTTTTCTGGAGGTGCTCACTCATTTTTGTACACGTTCATGTTTGAATATGCGTAACAGTGCGTGTGGTGTGGACCCAAGTTTCGAGAATCAATTCAAGGTGAATGGTCAATTCCAGATCCCATATCACCGATTTGTGTGCAGGTCATCGTTTTGGTACTATATCTAGATGTTTGTCCTGGTCACCATTAGCCATACCACGAACAGTTTGAGCCATTTGTTATTGGTACTTGACAAGCCTCAGCAGAGGTCGGGGGTCAAGATTGACCAATGTTGACAAAAGAATTGGTTTGTTGTAGTATGTTGTAGTAAAAAACTAATGGTTGTCAGACGCTTAAACTCAGTGATGATGTCTTGCAAATGGATTTCCATGTGATCCAACATGGAGGACATCCTGTAGGGACCCCACCTGCTGCCTGCAGCTACCCCACCTGCAGCTCAACCCTTGCAACCCGGACTGGAGGACTGGTGACAACATGACCGGAGCGACTCTTCACAGGGCGAGGTCTTCTCTTCAAGAGTCTGACTACAGGAAACAGACCTACCTCCCTGAGGTCTGCAGAACAACAGTGGAAGAGTACTACTTGCATCTGACATCTATAATACTATACCCAGACACTCCATGTATGAATGGTATATTTACCTACATTGGTTTGAGGGGTGATTGGGGCAGCATAGATGACAGACATGGAGTGTCTGGGATAGTATATAGTAGTGATTTTGGTGTGCCCTCCTCGAGGTACCATGCCCTTGTTTGCACAAAAATGCGCAGGTGCTGCTCTTTCATCATCCCGGCCGTTCAGCTGAGTCCGCGCAACGCGGCCTGTGGTAGTGGTGGTGGTGGGTCTAAGTCTAAGGAGCCTTGTTTTACTTCATTCCGAATGGGTGGATCAGGCTGCATGTGGTGGAAGTCCATAGCATGTGAATGCTTTGCGGGTTTCTTCAATAAAGCACCATGCACTGTAATTAAATGCTTCGCTCATTTCGAGCTCGTGCTGGATGTGGTGGAAAGTGGATGAATGAATCCAGAAGCTGGGATGGGAGACATTGCAACACCACGGTTGGTTGGAAATTTGAAGGTTACCGTTTCATGGTTTTGTCGCTCTTTGCAAGGCGTCCTGCTTCTAGAAATGAGAATTAACTGTGGTATTGATTGTTTCAAACAATGATAGACAAAATCCTGATGAGCACGACTCAACTCACAACAGGGATGACACAGGACCAAGGAGTAAGGAGAATTTTTATCATAGTGGTCCCCAAATAGATAGAAACGGTTTCCAATACATTCAGAGAGGTTTTTACTTTTCTATCTATTTGGGGGGGTCTATATAGACCACAATTCTAGGCGTATAAACAGATTAGGAAGCTCAGAAAGAGCTCAAGCTTGTAATTTGCCATCTATAATATATATATACTCGATAACGGACAGATGGCATAAGAAAAAACAACTATTAAAAGACCATCTAAGATGGATAAAACCCACCTCAAAACAATCAACGTGTACACAAACACTAAGATTGCACATTTGCAAATTCATGATTCTAATTGCTGCGATTCCGCGCGATTCAAATATACAGAGAGAGAGAGAGAGACACAGGACACGGCCATTTCCATGCCGAAGGCATGTTGGCACGAGGGATGTGTTTTGAATCACTCCTCTGTTCCGTTAAGTCGCATTGTTCGTGCTTTGAGTTGATGCCTTATGCAGCTTTTAATTTAGCTTTTGGGTCTAACCTGCTAGTGTGTCATGCATACTTCATGAGTCTTAGAGCTCACTATGGCTGGAAATGGAAAAATTGTTAACGCCCCTTCTGGGAAATACACACATATATGTATATTTATATTGTGTTTTCCCCAGTTCCTCAAGAACATCCAAGTGGATGGTATTGCTAATACTCCATGAGGCCCCCCTAAGACTGCCAAAAACCATCCCGACTTGGGTCTCCAGGGAATTCTTTAGTTCGGCTGTTCGTTTTCTATAGCCAGTCGCTCCAAACAGCTTTTCTGGTCCAACACATCTCAAAACTTAAGAGATTGGTGAGAAACCCCAGACCCCTGACCAGAGTCTCCAGAGGCAAACAAACGAAGGGGGGGGCCGGACGCCCGGGTCGCGTCATGGGGGGGGACGCCAGGACGCCCGGCTGGTCGCTTCGTGCTCCCAGGCCCTACAAGCGGCTGAAAGTCGTGAAGTCTGCGCCCACGAGGTGCGAGCGCGCTTCGGGCGTTGCACCAGCGCCACCCATGGTGGATGGCTATATACAGTAATAAAATGGAACATATACACAGTCAGAGGGGTCTATAAACCACCCTTTGGTTGGTTTCCTGGTGAACTTAGATAGGTTTTGCTCCCAGCATGGTGTTTCACAGTGTTCCACTGCTGTAGACTAGTAGACTTGGGTTGCCAATGTTTGGGTGTCCTCTTCGACTTCGATCTGTGGGTGTTCTTCCCATCGATTTGGTAGTGGACTGTCGTGTCTCCAGGTTTCGACCGTTTCTCGACAAGGCTTCACTTCATCCATGGCGCTTTCTTGGCCGTTGGCAGCAACGACTTCTCGGCCTTTCGCCTGAGACGGGAATTTGGGGTGCGGATTCTCACCTGTGAAGAATTTCGGGGTTCCAGTTCCTGGGGCAACTTGGGGCAACAGTTGGGAGTTTGGGTCACAAAGATTGGCCAAAGAATGGTCCCACACAGAACAGGAATGCAACACTGCAGTCCTTTTGCGTTCTGCACGATGGCACCACGCCAAGAATCCCACCAATTTCTTTAACCAAGCTTGAAATTGATTTTGCTGGCTCCGTGTTGGACTTTTCACATGTGGCAGATTCCTGAAACCACTCGTTGAAATGATGCCAACGCCTTGAAAACCTCAATCTCGAATGCTGTGGAACGCCCACGGCTGCCAGCTCTGCCGGCTCTGCACCTGAAAGCCGGTGCAGCTTGGACGCCGGTGCGCGCCAACGCAGCTCAGGTCGAAATCTTTGATTTGAAAACCTTGCTTCCGGGAAGGAAGAAGATGCAGCTTGGTCGGATTGGCCGGTGGTGGCGTTGGTGTTGCGTTTGGCCTTGTCTCATGTGTTTTACCTGCGGTTCTGAACGATGGAAGATGGTCAGTTCCATCGGGAAGAGGTTTCATGATTTCAGAGCGAAGCCACTACAAAGAGTCAGTCGGATACAAGCTTGTGAGGAGACGCCACCAGAAACTGTTGTGCTCACCAGGTTTTGACTCGTGCTCTTACTCTGAGTACACATGTGACATGTGAGTACTTCATGTGAATGAACTTTTTCACCTGGCAAATCTGAGCTAGGCTTGTGCAAGGTCTTCCAGGAATGTAGGTGCCTGAAAGCTAAAGCATGCTAAAGTCCCAATCCAACACAATTCATTGAGCCCACAGGGTTTGGGCGGTCCCGCGGATACCGAAGTCCAAGACTAGTTTTAACATGTTTGATCCTGTTTGATCTAGTTTTGCCGTGTAAAATCCCTTTTCAAAGGGTGGCTCGACTTCTTGGGTCTACGAAATCTCCGGAGACCTCACCTTGCCACTCTCCGTTGCCAGGTGAGTGAGCTTACTTCCAGCTTTCCGGAAGGGCCAACAAACCACTCATGAGATTCCACAAAACACCGGGCAAACCAACCGAAATGGAGACCGAAAGCCGCGGACGCAACCCACCAGCCCCGAAAGCTCTTTTTCGGCGCTGGTCCCCAGGCTGCCGAGCTTGGTGCTGCCGGTGGAGAGCGACCTGGTGCACGAACGCGCAAACTAACTGGTTCTTTTTCGGTTTACCCATGGTCTTGTAGGCTAGGTCGGCCAAGCAAGTTGACACTTCATATTTTCTTTAGGTAAATCATGGTAAATTACCCGAAGATCCCAGAATCTGTGTAGTATATGTTTCCCGGCTGGACCGGAGCCGCAAGTCCCAGGCCAAGTGGTGGACTTCTTGGAACTGCCCGGCTTGGCCTGGGCGGTCGCTGGACTCCACCAGGCCGGGTGCCCAAACGTGTGGCGGGTGCGGTGCGGGTGCCCTTTCGCTTTCCATTTAAGGCTGGTTGACCTGGTTCTTGTAGCTTAAAATCATGTAACATCCTTAGATATCCATAGTAAAACAATGGTGGTGCGGGATTCGGGCGATTAATCAATGGTGGGCCATGGCTTCGGGATTCGGGTGTGGTTTTTGGTAATTTTCGGGGGGTCCCGCCGTGAAGGACTGGGCGGCTCCTTGCAAGGAGCGTGGTAGGTATGGTTTTGGGTGGGTGAGGGTGATGGCTCATGTGGTCTTCGTCCAGAAAGGGTGATGCATTTTGGTCCTTTTTGGGGCTCCACGGAGGTTTTGGGTGTAATTATGTTCCTTCTGTATATACGGAGTAGCTGTGAGGGAAGGTCCTGGTCTATAAAGTTTGTGCTTTTGTTTGTTTGCCAAACGTGTTTAATTCTTGGCTCAACAAGCCTGGAAGCTGCCAAAGGTGGGGGTACGCAGATTCCATGTTCTTCTGGCAAAGGTGGCCAATCCAGTCTTCTGGCGTCAAACGCCGAACTGAGAACGCGGCTTTCCACCTGCAAACCGCAGGTGCAATTCTTCGGTGCTCAAGCCACAGCGAACCGTGCGGGGAACGAGCTGGCCTCCTTCAACGAAGGCGCTTTCGGTCGCGGTCGGCGGTGACACGGACGTGTCGGCACAGCGACGACAGAGGTGAAGAAGCCGATTTTGGACCATAGGGTTTCTTCACCTGTTTTCCCAAAAGGCTTATGGTTTATGAAAGCAACAAAAAAGCATTTTTTCCCTGTTTCCCATAGGTTTTTACGGTGAAACAGGGATCCTGTGACGGTCACAGCTCTTGAGCCAGGATTCTTCTGCTCAGGATGTGAAGTTCAGTCAGACCATCCATAAATTTCGTACCTGGAGCATCCATTGGTATGGGACTGAGCTAGTTTCAGCCACCAGATCCACATATATAATCACTCTTGTAATCTTTTTTCAAGTCCTTGGAGGACTTGATGCATAGAGCGTTCCATGCGAACTCTAGAGCGCCACTGAGAATGGCGACACATGGAATTGAAGGAGCGCAACTGAGATCCCAAACTTTCAACATCCACGAAGGCCGGCAGGAAGTGCACTTGAAAACGCACAGCTTTGACCTACCTGCAATGGGCCTGAATGGAGTCATGTACATTCTTTCCGGCCACGTCAAATTGTCAACAGTCTTGCTGCATCCCGTGGGTATGCGTTGCAGACTGCATTTATTGGCGATTGGCGCGGAGTGCACGTCCCTGATGACCCGTTTGGCAATTGGGTCACCAGAGAGCTCAAGGCCTTTTCAGGAAATCACCTTATCGTCACAGCAGACGCTTTTCGACGTGGCCATGACAATGCCGCTGCCGCGCAGATTCTTCAAACTGGTCCCGACGCCACACACGCTCCATCACGTGCATACAGCATGCTTTTTCGGCTTGCCGCAAATCCGCTTTTAGTCCGAGACGCCCCGGCAATTGACCGCGCTGTTGCCAACGTACTCGCTGAAGGCGAACAGCGTGTTGTGTCCCGTGTCGCATACCGTCAGGCCCAAAGTGAGATCAGGTCACTTTTGAAGAATCTAGGGCGTTTGGCTGAATTCAGTTTCGCTCCCGACCGTATCCCGACGCCAAAGGCACAGGCTAACGCGATCCGCCATTTGATCGCTCAAGTTTCACAAAATCCGGAATTACTTGAGCGCGGCCAGTATCGACTTTCTGCGGCTGCTCTCCAACCTTTGACCCGTGCTAATCTTGTACGGCTTCGCACATAAGTCCTATTTGCGCTTTGGCTGCCTCGCGTCTTGGTTCGACAAGAATCAACTGACACCACATGCAGACCTGACCCTGAGATGGAAGCTCCTCTGCCTACCCAGTCCTGCGCTACCCAGCCGATTAATTTTCGAGGTGTGGTGGCCTTCTCCAAATGGTTTTGCCGCCATGTTGCAGTCGGCCACTTCAATTTGAACAGGCGTTGGATGGAAACCAGCATGGACTGGATATCTCTGCCACATTGGAAGGGAGAATGCCCTTTGGCTGTTCATATATACACCGATGGGTCGAAAATCAATGACATGGCAGGGGCAGCGGCCGTGCTCTGGATCCAAAGTCATGAGGGGTGGTTCTTTGGAGGTCACCTCCAACATCACCTTCAAGCTGGATGGGGATCCTACGATGCTGAGCTGATGGCATGTTTGATGGCAGGAAAGTGGGTGTTTGACACCTTCAGGTCTCTGGGATTTCTGTCGGACCGGACACCACCTGTTTTCTTACATTTTGACTCTACGTCTGCTGGATGGGGTGTATGTGGTTGTGCACAGGGGTCGAGTGTGCACCCTATCTTTCGAGCAGCTCGTGCAGTCTTTCAGCTTCTGGATCTACTCTGGCCGGGAGTGATCCAGCCATGCTATACATTCAGGGGCATAGCGGGGATCCTGGCAACGAAAGTGCTGATGTGCTCTCCAAGCATGCAGCACAGAACTCCTTCCCTACTGATGAGGTCTGGGCCTTTTATTACGATGTGAAGGGACCAGCATTCAGATGTCTCCCTTGGATCTGGCCCACTTTTCGACAGGATCTGAGGGAATACTGGAAGGATGGGGACCTGATTCTCCCGGCCCCTCGAGTTGAGGTTTCTGATGATGTTTTGGAGACACTACAGACATGGCAGCAACACACCGAAGCAGGACCCAACCTTGAGTTGGACCTTCGTTGTCTTACCTACAATGCTATGACCTTGAAAGCCAAAGAGTTGACTGGCTATGTTCGGCTGACTCAATTTCTAGAAGAATGCCATGTCAAGGGAGCCAATATGGTTGCAATTCAAGAAACACGTTTGACAAGGAAGACCCTGACGAATGAACACTTTTGGATTTTGGCACACCCATGCGAGAAAGGAGTGGGAGGTATCATCCTTGGCCTGCACAAGATGACTCCCCTGCTCTGGGACATTTCATGCTCCGCACTCAGGACTTGGGAATGATCGAGTTCAAGGATTTTGGGATGAGGTAAGCAAAGCAATCCCTGCACATCTCAAACATCTTCCTTTGGTGCTGGCGGGTGATGCCAATGCCAGATTGGGGAGTATAACCTCTCCTGCCGTCAGTCACTTTGCTGCAGAAGAGGAAAATGAGTCAGGGCAAATTTTTCACACCTTCCTTCTCGAGAAGGGGCTCTGTGCACCAAGCACGTGGGATGGTATCCACAGTGGACCGAGCTCAACATGGACCCACCCCACAGGAAAAGAGTCACGGATTGACTTCGTCTTGATGCCGCAGAGTTGGATGACGTGCACCCTGCGATCTTGGGTGGACGATAGTTTGAATGTGAATACGACCACAAAGCCGTCTTTTTGGATGTGCAAGGAGGAATGCCTGGGGCTAGAAAGACGGTCAAGCCCAAGCCCTGTCTGGGACCTTATGACGACGCTGGACTGACGGACACGGGCACTGGTCTAATGGAAGCCTTTGCTCGACGGCTGAAACCCATTAGCTGGAAGCATGACGTTCATCAGCATGCTAGTCAGCTCATTGGGCAGATGCACGAAGCTGCCGAGAAAGTACTCTCCAAGAGGAAACAGTTCCACTCCAAGCCCTTCTTCTCTGATGAAGCTAGAGCAGCCATCCTGCAGAAACAAATGTGGAGGGCACGAATGCTGCAGGGACGAAGAGAGCTCAGGTGCTTTTGGCTTTCCTTCATTTTTCAGGTTTGGCAGAAGAGGGTATGCCCTCGAGGATGGCTGAAGGTCAAAGATGATATTCTTGTACAGCTCCACTGGGGACAAGGAGTGTTCCAATGGTGTTTCACGGCTATGAGAAATTGGGCAACCACATTAGCTCGCCGTGACGCCCAGCACTTCTGGGAGCTTCTGGCCAGCCGCCTGCCAGAAGCCGAGGATAACAAAGACCCACGTGAGTGGTGGAGACTTGTACAGCAGCACTTGCCAAAGACTAAGGCCAGAAATGATGCTCTGGCAGCAGAACGAAATGAAAGACTTCAAGGCCAGTGGCGACCATACTTGTGTGCTTTGGAAGCCGGCTCCGAGACCTCCCTTGTTGAGCTGTATAAAGAAGTCGTTGAAGAGCACCAGAACAAAACCGCTGAGGCACCAAAGATTGAAGACTTGCCTTCGTTACTGGACCTTGAACGAGTCTTGAGAGACACAAAGGCCAAGAAGGCACCAGGCCCTGACGGAGTTCCCAGTGTCTGGCTCCACTCAGGTGCCCATCTCTTAGCGCCACATCTTTTGACCTTCTTCTGAAGTCTATGCTACATTGCATGGAGGCAACATTCTGGAAGGGAGGAGTCTTGAAGATGATCCCCAAAGTGGGGAATGCCATGCAGGTGAACCAATTCAGAGGGATCATGCTGCTCAACTTGCTTCCCAGACGAGCACATGCATGCTTCCGGCCGATGCTGATGGATGAGTTGGAGAAAGAGAGGCCACAAGGCCAAATTGGTGGTCTGCCTCATCAGGAGGCAGCTTTCGGGAGTTTGGCCATGCGGCTTTTCGTGCGCTGTGCGTATAGCTGCCAACTCCCAACGTGCATCCTTTTCTTTGACTTGAAAGCAGCCTATCACTCCCTTGTGAGAGAGCTAGTGCTGGGGGCAGATTTGTCCAACGAAAAGGCCAAACAGGTGCTCACTCGTCAGCTCCTCCAAGATGGCTTCAGTAAGGAGGACATCGACAGGATGGTGGGGAGCTCGGGTCTCTTGCCTGAAGGCTTTCGTCGTGAGTGGTTTCGTGAGCTGCATAGTTTCACTTGGAGTTCGATAGTTGACGAGCCTGTGGCCACCAATAGAGGTAGTCGACCCGGAAGTCCACTTGCTGACTCTATTTTTCATCTGGCTATGGCGCCCCTCATCAGAGAGATGGAGCAATGGTTGGCACAGAGAACAGAGAGGCAAGTGGCTCTCAGCAAGCTGAACCACCCGGGCTTGCCAGTGGTCTGGGCCGACGATCTGTCAGTCCAAGTCATTTCTACCTGTTATAGACACTTTGATGACAGAAGTTGAGGCCACTTTTGAGTTTGTGGACCGCCTCTTTTCTCGGCATGGCTTCACTTTGAATCTTCAAAGAGGAAAAACGGAAGGGCTACCCACATTTGTGGGAGCAGGTGCTGCAGAATTTCGACGGCGCCTTTTAGCCCAGCCGGTTCTTTTTGGCCATCGAGACTTGCAGCTAGGCGCTTCCTACAAGCATCTGGGAACTTTCATTGACTCTGCGGGTGACTTGGGAAGGGACATTAAGCTGAGGATTGCCCAGGCATGGGGTATGTTTCGACAGCTTTCCAGACCGATCCTGAGGAACAGTCGACTGAGCTTGAAGTCCCGCCTAGCAATGCTTGACTCGCTTATTTTTTCGCGCTTATTCTATGGTGCTGGTAGCTGGGGAGCATTGTCAGGAAACCTGACTAGGAAGCTTCAAGCCTGCTATTTGGGTCTTTTGAGACAAGTTTCTTTCCAGGTTGCAACCAAGAAAGAGCCGAAGGTCTGGAGCGACAGCACTATCTTGCACCAGACAGGCCAGCCTTGCCTGCGAGTGAAGTTGGCTGTGGCCCGGCTTCTTTTTGCGCCTCGTGTATGGAAGCACGCCCCAGGCCTGGTTAAAGATGGCCTGCAGCGGGAGCATGAGCTCCGGGAAGACTTCTGGCTTCAGGCATTCTCCTATGACTTGGGCTGGATGCAGGACTATGTTGACTTGCAGCCATGGGGGACGACCTGGTGGGAGCTCTGCCCAGTTTGGAGCTCAGGCAAACCGGGATGGAAAAGACTTGTCAAACAAGCCCTGAAGAAGTACATAGAGGTGCGTAGAATTGTTGAACATGCCTTTGCGTCTGAGCCTCAGCAACCGGACCGCGCCTTGGAAGAGAGCTTTGAATGCCAGTGTGGAGCCAAGTTTCGATCGGAAAAGGCTCTGCACATGCATCAGGTTCATGCACACAACGAGAGGGCACCAGAGCACATGCTCTTGAGCCACCCAGTTTGTCCGGTCTGCTTGAGATTCTTCTGGTCCCTGAGTCGTGCACAGGGACACCTCCGGTATGTGTCTCGAAAAGGCATCCCCAACAGATGCTATGAGTGGCTTTGTGCCACTTCCTTCCTGGACGACCGGATTTGGGATGGGAAGGACTTCAGTGACCTACCGGGTATGAAGAGGAAGGAAGCGCTCCGGCTTCAAGGACCTCAACCATGTGGGGCCATGGAGACTGACCTTGAAGCGATCGAGAGTGATTTTCTTGATAGCAGACAGCAACTGAAGAGTGGAGGGATCTTTTTTCCAGTTTCGGATGAGATGAAAAATAGATGTTTTGTACAGTTCGATTGGGAGTTTTCTCAAGCCTCAGTTGCAAAGACCGTGATTTTCCCACAGGTGGAAGGAGTCACACCCGGCTGCACCGCAGCCGCCTTCTTCCTATGGGGAATGAAGCAAGATTTGAAGTCTGATGAATTCCGTTGGTTTGAGCAGGTACTTCAGCAGCACCCTCAGGGAGAGCTCCTTGCTCATTTGCCTCCGTATTTGGGCCCCGCCAATGATAGGGAACGTAACGTGAGAGACCTTAGCATTCCTTCTTGTGATGCGCTGTTGGTTGGTTCAGTTTATGTCCCTGTCAAACGGTTGCCTCTTTCGGTCCTTTGCAAGCTATAGGGAGGTGTGCCAATCGTGCCTGCCCTAAATTGAGCTTTTCCCCATGCTTGACCATGAGACTAGATCTCACTTGTGGTTGCGAATGAAAAAATGGAGGACTTGACAGACTGCCTCTGCGGAGAATCCATCTCAAGCAGTGTTGAATCCTGCGTTGAAAGGGATTCCCGGCTGACTGTTAACGTTGAATCATGGTCGATTCCATTCATCTGAACGAAAGTGAGGCCGACGCAGTGCCGATTCACTGCTGAGACGGAGCGGAAGTTGACACAGTTTGCTTGCCCTAGGGATCCAGTCGTACCTTGTCAGAAGGTACGACTGGACACCTACATAACAGTGCCTCCAATTGCCGTACCTGAGAAGGTACCACTGGATCACGTTCGGCTTGGTGAGTGGTAAACAGAATCAAGAACCTCATCGAACCTGCCAGAATCCTCCGAATTATCCGAAAAAATCTTCGCCCATCATCGCCCGAATGCGAGTCCGTCCTCCACTTACTCATCATCACGAGGGTTTGTCCCCGACCCTGCGCCAAGCATCTCACACGTTTGGTGTATTTTAAAGTGTATTTTTCCCCCCCGTGATGAATTCATGCGCCAGGAAGAGTATCCATGACGTTGCCATTGTCGCAGTCTCGTGTGGCGCTGGGCTTGAGAGTGTCTTGGGCCAGCGATGGTGTGTCGCGGACAAAGACATTCATAATCTCAGTGGTGTTTCATTGTATTGACCCCTGAACTAGACTATGGAATCATACTAAATTGTACATGCAATCCGCTGCAAAACACCTATCGCCCTAAGAATCCGGGCCCTCAAAAGGTTTGGTTCGGGCCCAGACCCCTGCCATGGAGGGTCCGTACGCATTCCTGCCAGGTGGAATCCATTTCTCTTTCTTTGGAGACCTGGCAGATGAAAAAAAAGTATCCCTACAGGTCAGTTGGACCACATTTGACTGGACGTGGTCAGTCCCAAAACACGACCTCCAGGAGGACGTGGGCAGACCTGGAGAGGACCTATATGTCAGACTTGACGTACTATGCAGGTGGACAGGTTACTGCGCCCTTTGAGGTACGGTCTTTGGAGACATTGTCGGTGCCAGATGGTGCCAGGGTCCAGTCGTACCCCTCCGAGGTACGGTACCACTGGATCCCTAGGGTTCTCTTATCTAACTGGGCGAATGGGAGGAATTTCCCATGACATGGACAGGGTTTTTTTGGGGAGTCCTCGGAATCCATGTCATGAAACGATGCATGGGGCTGGCATATTTGCACGCATTGGATGGTTTCAGGATGTTTCAGGGGTCAATGTACCAGGATCATCCTGTCTGGGTGTCCTGGCGTTCGACTACCCTACCCTACGTAAACAGGTCTCCATTGGGCACCTGTTGGAAGTGCTAGGTAGGTAAACATTCCATAATATTCCATACGTGGAGCATCTGGGTGTCATGAAACGATGCCCGTCTTAGAAATGTTGTGTTAATTTCTTTTTGGGAGCTTGAAGACTTGATATCATGGATTTGGAGCAGGAAGACCCGCTTGCCCAGTCAGGACGTCTTCACTAAGATGAACCAACCAGTCCAATGGACCTCAGACCCCCAGGCAGCAGATGCCCCAATCTCTCACGGAGGAAGACCAACGATGTTTGTTTTCACGTGGCACATCGGGGGTGGCTTGGTTGAGTTCAACGGACATGAATTGGTTGTGCTTCACCAGGCAGACGCTTCTTGCCGGCTTCAGCACCGAGGAGTCACCCGAAGTGTTGGTGCACTCCGTGCACAAAAGGGGTATCAGGCAGACGCGGCAGACGCGTCACGGTTCGTTTTCAGAGAAGCCGGGCAAAGCCCGGGCATTCGTTTTTGGAGCAGCTGGACACCTACCAGACTAGGCAAGACTTTGGGGGAGCTGAGGAACAACCTAATCGAACTTATCCCAATTTCCCTTGAGGTTGGGAGTCTCAGCATGTTTTTTTATTTTTTATTTTCCGAGTGCTACACGGTGCTACACTCACTGTGTTGATCTCTTTCAGTGGCATTCCATGTCAATTTCAACAATACAATATGGTTGAATTTGGTCTATTTCTTATCTGTCAACTATTGTTGAGTGTCATTTCAGGTCTCTTTAAGTGCTACACTATGTGAATTTGGTTGAGTTGAACTTGGATTTCACGTCGGGAAACCGGTTCCTTAGAGCGGCAAACAGTGGTCGTGTCATGCATGGACCCCTTCAATGATCACCCTACGAGTCCTGGGTAACGCCATTGATTCAAAGGTTTTTCAACGAAGAACCGTTGTTTCAGACAGGAGTTTACACCAAAACCAGGTTGTCAACCTTTCTTTTAATGGTTTTGGAAGGCTACTGTAGGCATCAAGAAAAGCGTTTGTCCAAGTAAATGGATTACCTGGGCCTAGTGAACCGAGTGGAGCACGTGCCGTTTCAAGAGTACTTTTGGTATAGCGAAGGATTCAGGAAATCCTTCGACTGGACTCACCCAGTGGAGGCCGGACCCTAGGTGGACTCCCGTGTAACACGCACCAGGCGGGACGGCCCATTCCGGACCCCCACTGAAGAATTCGTCCATTTTTGGAGGTCACAAAAGGGTGTGGCTCGTCCCATCCAGAAACCGTGATTCGAATGTGATGTTCGGGGGCACCACTTGGTCTCTCCATGAATGGCACCCCTTCTAGTAGTAACAAGAAGCTACTAGTAACAAGTGCATCGCTTCTAGTAACAAGGGCCTTACTAGTAGTAGCAAGAAGCTAGTAGTAACAAGTTTGAAACTGTTGGAATTCGATCCTCGCCCCTTCGCGCCGCAGGTTGGAGTTGGCCCTTCGCCTGCCGCACAACCAGTCCTTTGCAACCGTGGCGATCGCCACTTGGGTGGGCAGGATTCGTTCGGTGCCCTCTGTTGATCCACCGGACTTCCGACAGCGAATGGGTTTCTGAGGCCTTGACCTATGCCCTATATGGGTTTCCTTTGCAAATGTGTTTTTTGTTGTTTTCTGTTATTCCCTATGCCCTTATGACAGCTGAATGGGTTTCTTTTTTAGGCACTGAAACTTGGTCTAGAACACCGTGGTATAATGGGGTGAGTGGGATCCCGCCAGGCGCAGCGTGCGCAGCGTGCGCAGGGGTGCGCGAGACGCTCCAGCCTCAACGAAGGCTATAAGATATATATGAGGATATATGAAATTGATAAGAATGCATTTGATACGCTAGATATAGAGTTCCTCTATGAGTTTCTATAAGATTGAGCAAGCTACAGACTCAGAGAGGTGCATCGGTCTCATGTGTAACATGAAGAATCTGGTCTGGATCCTTAGCCCCTTTCCGGTTAGGGATCCTGGTCTTGGAGAGGTCACAGTGCTTAAGTATGAGCTTCTCCGCCGGTCCATTCCCGATAACAACGCCTTCGCCTCGGTCTCGGCGGAAGTGAGACTGTGGGGACGGCACACCTCCTCTCTCGCATGGTTCGATGTTTCAACAGGGCGAATCCCGTTTTGGGGGGAAAGACTTTCTATCCCAGACACGACGAGTCTGGGACTGCCATAGGACTGCCGCCCCAGACAGACCCCCGATGGCACCACCCCAACTGATCGGCAAATATGGCAGTCCCATGGAGTGTTTGGGTTTCTATTGTTCCTATCAGGTTGCTCCAGCCACTCAAAATCCACAGGGGTCACGAACAAGGTTTGCTCCGCAAAAAGAGATGTACCAGGGGTCACAAAGGTTTGTTGTTTAGTCCCTAAGTGAGTGGAGTAGCTGGGCACCCCTAACCTCCATGGATAGCACCCCGTCTTGTGACTGCAGGTAGATCAATGTTCAATGCGATGGGACATGGGGTGCGACCCATGGGTCCAAACCATGTCCAAACACTTTGATCGAAACACCGAGTTGAATCAAGTCCATATTGTGCCTTTGGGTCACTGCCCTGCAACAGGTCGGAGATGATCGGAGTCACCAGATCCGATTTTTGCCTAGCTCCGCTATGTCAGAACAACTCCCAGAAAACACCCAGTCTTTGATGCATCCAGGATTTGGATGGCAATAAATGTTCGCATATTGGTGATCGGTAAAGACGAAGTAGTGTACCAGAGGATGTTCAATTTCACCCTGCCTATGATGTACCAGAACTAAAAGCGTTCATTCTTTTGGAGGTCTAGAGCAGTAACAATTCATATATGCAACAATCGCATTGATGTTCAATACGCATTAGTACACCCTCCTCAAAAAAGGATTACCGACGCATGGTTTATTGCGGTGTCTTCAACATATATAGCTTTAGCGTTTGTTTTTCAAACGGCATGTTCCCACGGATTCCCCGTTTGTTAAAGACGTTGAACGGACGTGTTCACACGGATCCGGCACGGGAGCTTGGACTCCGTGGACGTCGCAGATCACGTCCGATCCGAGGAGATGGCTGGAAACCTCTTGGTGGTGGGGCAACACCCCCGCAATGTCTCATTGCACCCTGGTCTCATTGCGCCTTTCTTGCCAAACATCATAAGAATTCGAAGGTGTCATCGCGTAAGTTTTTCTCACTCACTCATGCCCGGAGGCCAAATGGAATGCGTGCAAGCCCCCCCCCCCAACTATATTAAGCCGTTTTTGGGGCTGGACCAGCTCCGTTTCGGTTTGGTGGTTGGGGTGGGTGCCAGGGAGGTCTAACCACCGAACCTGAGGATCCGAGGAGCCCTAGGCTTTCCGCCCCTTTCGCTTCGCCGAGGCACCGGCCCCCGAAGGGGGCCCCGCGCGCGTGTGAGATCGGCTCAGAAGGATGTTCCGAGGTGAACCAATTCAGTGAATTTGCATGATCATCTTTGGGCCAAAGACTCAGATGTGTCTCTTGTTTTTTGTTTCTCTGTTCTTTTTGGTCGAAGAAAAGAGAATAAGGTGCCAATCAGCGGTCACGCATCAACAGAACCCAGTTTGGAGGTCTTGTTTGTTTGTTTGATTGGCTGTAGTCAACTTGGACTGCCAAGGTATAACCTCTCAGGCGCTATCTCGGAAGCATCCGAGCCTTGACTGAAAGCCCACTGGTAGTAATCAAGTGTTGCTGCTTTTTGAACAGACTCTATGGCGCGATGGTCATGAGCTAGCCCTTTCTTCTCGTGCAAACCAGGCGCCATTTTGCGGCCCATGCCAGGGCGAACTGTTCGTCCAATCCTCATAATTACCTGGACCACCGCATGCTGAGCTTTCCACCCGAAGCCATTCAGGTATATTTTTTTTGCAAGCATGACCTTGCAAAGGCACATGTTCATGCAAACAGTTCTGCCCGTAGGTGGTTGTTGGTATATATTATCTCAAAGTACCTATATCCGTCCGTCCCCTACAGGTCAGTTTGGTCTCATTTTAGCTGATCGGCTGATCATATCAAAACAGAATCCAATGGCCGTGTGCAGCCGACCAGGTTCTTCTGGATCGGACTGGACCTGTTTTTTCTGTGTGGGATCCACGGGGTACTTGCTTCGGTCATTGGCATCTCCAACACCTCCGAAGCCACGAGTCCGAGCACGAAGAAAAGCCACTTTGCTCTCCACATTTCGGAAAGCGGGGGCTTTTGGGTGGTGAAATAGAGGGTATTTGCTAGTACTATAGGGGAAGCGGGGCCACAATTTTGGTTGCCTTACATGAAGTGTTGAGACTAGCTTTGGTGCTTTTGGTGATTGGGGGGGGGCGAAGAGCAATGATAGTGTGGGGTGACCAGGATACCTGTTTTGAGCCGTATTTTGAGCCACATCCATCGAACACAGTGTCAGACGCCATGGAAGACGGTGCGATGGTGCGAACAAGACAAAGGGGCCTTCGACATGTGGGCACTTGTAATCAACAACTTGAACAAAAGAAGTATACATGCCTCATCCGTGTCTCAGTATGTTTGAGTTATCTGTATGTGAGAAGAAGCGCACCGGTATGCACCGGTTCTTCCTCCCACTCACACCAACTCAGCCGGCTGACCGCCGGCCACCTCGACTCGACTCGGCTCCTTCAGGAACTGGCCTCGGCCGTCACCATGCCCACCGGCACGCCGGTCACCTCTCTGGCCTGCCGAGGGTCGCAGCTCGGGGTGAACATCCGCGGGTCTGGGTGAGTTCACGAGAGTGGACGCGGACTTGGAGTGACTTGGAAACCCCCACCACGACATACCACTTCAATAGAACATCAAACACATTCTTACCATTTCTTACCCAGAAATTTCGGTTTTCGCTTTTTGGACTTGTTGGCTTTACCCCGCGGAGTTCTCCACCACTAGGCCGGGATAGTTCTCTGTATGGGTGAACATTTGGGAGACCACCGAAAGGGATTTTGGAACTCCTCACAGTTGGGGAATTGGCGAAAGTCTGGACTGAGGAAGATTCCGGGCGGGCAACAAAGTGAATGCTTCTAAGGCATTGTCTTTTTCGTTTTTGTGGTCGATTTGGGTTCGTGGCGTTCTGATTTGTCTGTGGCGGTGTTCATAGTCTGCCTCTTTGACCTTGGAACGGGCGCGTGAGCGTTGAACCCATGTGTTTCGCAGGTGATGTGCAGGTCTGGCATATGTATTTGTTCAATGCGGGGACCTCAAAGGCAGCAACCAATTCTGTATCATAAAGCTCCTCACTTTGCTTACGCCTTACGCTAAAAGAGTTAGCCAGAGAAGCCAACTAGCGGGGCAGAGGTAGGAGTTTAAGGTAGTAGCAGGCAGGTTGGCCACAAGCAGCAGTTGGTAGCATGACCGCATGGGCACACTTTGCTGACAGCACACTTTGCACACCTTAGTATACTCCAATGGATTGGCAACACGCATGAAAGTATCAAGAATTGTTACTTGTACGGCTTACTGTGGCCAGTGCATTTGCTGCATAAACCAGTCCGTAAATGACACCTTAAGCAACCTGTTTTGACAACATGAAAGCAATGCGCAGTGTTGCAGTGAACGTATGTGATTATCATACCCCTTAGCCATGATCAAAAACACACACAATTCCAACCTCTTCCCTGCTCCTACCTCTTCCCTGCTAGTCGTCCCCAAATTAGTTTTGTAGACTATCAGGAAAATGATGGACAATGCACAATGCACTTGTTGCTCTTTCTGAAAAAGCGGATCCCAGCCGGCGCCACAGACGAAAGTCGCCAGCGTTTTTGTTGGACCTGTGGCCTGGAAACCTGAACTGGATGTGACATGCTCCGAGCACCACGTCTCCCCACCACGTCTCAGTTCTCGTCGGTTCTTTTCGCACCGACTCGTCCCCGAGTCGTCTTGCGTCCCGAGGACCTTGCTCGCGGGATGTATGCACGGAATCACCGTGCTGGACGCCCAGCAGCAGAGGACCGGGACCGGTGCGGGGAGAAGGCCTCGGTGGACCACCGGTGTCTCGCGTTTGGTCTGGGGGAAGTCCGCTTCGCCCACAGAGTTCGCCCACCGAGTTTGAAGAAGTTAAACAGTGGACCGCAGAACCCATCGAATTAAGGATTTTTCACTTATGACACCAGGTCAACGGAACTCTTTTTTATGGTCTTTGAAGGCTACGGTGAGGCTCGGTGAAGCCACCGGTGGGTGAAGGGTTTTCAGGTCGGAGCAAGGCGTTTTCTTGGTGGCGTGGTAGATGTTTTTCTTCTCGTCGCGTGAAGAGTGTTGTACCTTGTTGCCTTAATTTGATCTATTCTTCCTGGTGTCAACATCAGGTTGACAGGGAATCCAGCCTTTTTGGCTCAAGGTTTTTGTACAAGACCACCGCAAATACAGGCCGTTTGGCTGCGAACTGTCCTGGGCCGGCTGATCAAACGCCAAGTACCCAAGGTCTTGTAGATCATTGTAGACCGCTCCACTCACCCAACCTAGATGTCCAACAGTTTGTGTCTTTGTGCTTTTGCTAGTGGAGACAAGACCTTGAGTTCCACCTTCTTTCGCTCCAAACAGAGAGCCCGACTCCCAAAAATAGACGGATTGCTTTGACCCCAGAGCCCTCAGGTCTATGAAGAAACCCCTCCCTCCATAGGTTTGGGCTCCAGACGTCGCGTTGTGTTCTGCACCCATCTGCCGACAGGACCATCTCCCATCTTCGCTTGGCGGCCACCGTGTGGTCGATCGCCGCCCGGCCGCGACCCCGGGGAGAGGTGCAGAGTTGGTTGAGTCTTAACATGCCCCAGGGATCCAGTCGTACCTTCTCAGAAAGTGGATTGGAGACACTGTTATGTAGGTGCCAGGAGGGTCCAATCACCTTCTCAGAGGGTATGTGTTCTATAGTTGTTATTTTTTTTAAGGGTAACATGGCTGGAGGTCCAATCCAGTGCTGGGGCGTCCAGGTCCAATCCAGTCTGGTCCGACCGTCTGTCCTATGTGAGTCTATTGGCTTTGGTAGGTCCCGATGGATCCCCGAGCTGGGTCGGCGCGACCGGGGAAGCATCCGCTGCATGCCGCATGCCACATCTCCCGATCGGTGTCCACCAGGATGAAGCACACATCCCCTGATTTGGTTTCACACACATCATCTGACATCTGATTTCGGCTCGTCTCAGCTCCCACCAGGTGGATTTGGGGAACGGACTCTGGGCGGCCGGCAGCGACTCGGAGGTGGGCGACGGGTCTGGACGAGTGGGTCACAAACAGCAGGTCGGGGTGGACGCTCACGATCCCCTGTGATGGAATTGGTACATTTCTGTGGATTTGGTAGTGTTGTTTGTGTTTTCTTTTCTCATTCAGCGTTTCTTTTCAGAACAAGTCACAGAGCAGACTCTAGGAAGATGGGAGTTGTTTTGGCAACCAAGCGCACCAATTTCCTACAAGCACAGCGTGTGGTCTCTTGGATGCAGATTGTCAAGCTTTGCTGTATTGTTCGTCGTATATCACCCGAACTCGGTGCGAAGTAGGTGTCTCAGTGTCCTGGTGTCCCGTGGCTTGGTGTGACAAGCACTAACATCTCCCTGATGGGCCCTGCTGCAGCTCTCACGCTACAGCGCCCCTGAGGCTATGCTGGATAAATGATTTGTCGTGATCACACGGGCATGATGCCCAACTCTCCCCTCGGAACCCACCCCCCACCCACACACCCACACACACACTTCGACAATTGTATTCAGTTATCTCGATTCCCACGTTGAGAAGGAAGGCGAAGAACCGCAAGGTGGAAAAGTCAGCTGGAAAAGTATGGTTGAACAAAGTTTCCAAAGGTGCAAGTCTGCGATCGGCGGCTGGCTGCAACTCACGAGCGGTTGAGAAATGCGGTGGAAAACCTGTTTGTGGGAGAGTATCGTGAGGAAAAACCATGAAACCAACGAACAGCGGCAGGGTGGACCATTGGTGTCAATGTGTTGATCTGCAGGTACAGGATCAAGCGTCCTTGATCCCTTCCCATCTGTGGTCTTAGCTTCGTTGCGTGCAGTGGACCACAGATGCTGCACGCCCCTGCTGGTGGAAATTTCTTTCAGGGTGGAAAACGGGGGGGAACAGTAGAAAGTCAGTAGCGGTGAACCCTTGGTCCAGGGGTTGACACACACAAACAGCCGATTCCGGCGCAAGTGTGAAGGTGGAACTTTGTACAGAAAGCGCCAAAATTGGCGCTGCGAAAAGACTAATAGCCACCTAAAAAGCCTTAGAAAGACAGACAAAGCAAACAAAACAAAAGCAGACTAAGAGGGCAAGAAAGAAAGATAGGGGAAGTTACGAGGCCCGCTTAGTTAAATGAAAGTAGATCGCGAGCGGGACATTTGTCTTAAACCGCCCGGGTAGCTAGCAATAGGCTAGGAGAAACAGAAGGAAAGGCACCAACACACAAGTGTGTTGAGTGCGATTTCCTTCTGTTTCCCGAGTAGCGGGTGGGGTAGCAACGGAGGCCCAGGGGTAGGGAGGGGGAAATGCATGATTAATTCATCCGGCCTGTGAATACTTAGCCGCACATGCACATGTGAATACTTAGCCGTCAAACATCTCAAAAAAGCAAGTGTTGCAAAACTGTCAGTTCCCGTGGTGAGGCCCGGCGGCCTTTGTGGCAGTTAATTCGGTGGTTGTGGCGGTGACTTCCAGTGGAGTTCCTGTGAAAGGTGGTGAGGTCAGTTAGTGCTTGCACGATGAGACAGCGCCCCAATGACGGGGATCACACTCAGCACCCGAGTGGGACGGCTGAGCGAAACACACTTCGACAATTGTATTCAGTTATCTCGATTCCCACGTTGAGAAGGAAGGCGAAGAACCGCAAGGTGGAAAAGTCAGCTGGAAAAGTATGGTTGAACAAAGTTTCCAAAGGTGCAAGTCTGCGATCGGCGGCTGGCTGCAACTCACGAGCGGTTGAGAAATGCGGTGGAAAACCTGTTTGTGGGAGAGTATCGTGAGGAAAAACCATGAAACCAACGAACAGCGGCAGGGTGGACCATTGGTGTCAATGTGTTGATCTGCAGGTACAGGATCAAGCGTCCTTGATCCCTTCCCATCTGTGGTCTTAGCTTCGTTGCGTGCAGTGGACCACAGATGCTGCACGCCCCTGCTGGTGGAAATTTCTTTCAGGGTGGAAAACGGGGAGAAAAGCAGAAAGTCAGTAGCGGTGAACCCTTGGTCCAGGGGTTGACACACTTCGAACTTGGGTTTTTCAGTTAACGCAATTGTCTCAATGGGAAGGAAGGCGATGGAACGGCAAGGTGGAAAGGTCAGCTTAAACTGTATTGTTTAACACAGGTTTCACGACAAGCGCAAGTGGAAGCGGCGGTCAGCAGCTGCAGTGCAGTGGGAAACCTGTTTGTGGGGAAAGTATCGTGTGGAACCACCATGAATCAAACCAAAAGATTGGACAGCGTGTTCAAAAGTTGAAGCAGGTACACATCAGGACGTCTCCCGATGCATCACCAGAGAATGTGGACGTCTTCGTTGGCAGTGATTCCACAAACTCTGTCACTGCCCCCTGCCTGTGTAAAATGGGAAGAGTGGTGGTGTAAGACCCTTTGTCCAGGGTGGGACACACACAGGTCGCCGCATTCGGCGCTTTTTTCAAAAACCGGTGGCAAGCGTGGTAGTTATGCCCCTTTTGGACATATAGGTTCACGAGTTCAGCCGCAGCAACGTCAGCGCTGGAGGGTGGAAATGTGTATTTTCGAATGGTGTGAAGTCGTGATTGGAGGCCTGATAGAGCCAAGCGCTGGCTCCCGGCGGTTGTGGAGTCCCGGATTTTCCAGGGTTGAGAAGGTTGCATGTAGGTGATAGTGCATTGTGGGAGGTCGATGTTGAAACCGAGGAGATGAAAATCCTCCACCGGTTCAAGTTCCACAGGGTCGCCAAAGAAATTGTGGTGGATGAGGGTTTGGATAGCCGGGTGTTGGAGGAAATGTTCGTTGTGGACAATGAAACGGTTGTCGACATACCGATAGTAAGTAAAGTGGAGGTCTGTGTGTTGAAGGAGGTTGTTGTGGATCTGATGCCATGAATGCTCAATGAGGGTGATGGCAACATTGCATAGGGCTGGAGAGAGCTGGGATCCAATCCCGGCCCCTCGGATTTGTTTGTAAGTGTTGTTGCAGGCCCGGAAAATGCATGTGTCGAGGGCAAAAGCCACAATGGTGGTGATGTCGGAAGTCTGGATGGTGCGTTGGGTAGGGTGTTTTCGATGGTGTCTGCCAATGTGGGAGTGGTGGAACGGATTGCCGGTGGCCTGGACATCCACCGTTAAGGTGTGTGTGGATTGCTGTTGTTGCCAGTGGAGAACAAGGGAGTGGACTGCATCGATGAGTCGGTGCTGGGGGACGGAGTTGAAAAAGCCGACCAGGTCATCATTGGTGGCGTGTAGTGAGATGTCGGGTGGGGTTTGGGTGAGGTAGCTGTGAAAGTGGTGCCAAAGCTGTGGAATGGACATTTGGCCTGGATGCTGAGGGTAGAGGTGTTGGAGGATAATGTCGAGGGCACGGCTGGTGATGCGTAGCAAGTTGCCGCTGAGTGATTGGAAGTAGGATATAATTGTACGGCCTTTTTGCCAGTGCTTCTTCTCTTTAAGGTGGACAACACCGTAGGGGATGTTGAAGTCTTTTCGGAAGCCCCACTTGTAGCGGGTGCGCAGGATGGGGGGGACGGTGGCGGCTAGGTGGTCATGGATGTTGGCGACAGTGATGTAGGGAAGTGGTTCAAATAGTTCAGGGGATTGCCAGGTGTTGAAGGCGCCAGTGAAGTATTGGCGAGGGCAAAACAGTCGCAGTTGTTGGAGCTCATGATCGGCGTGGTGGAGTAATGTGTGTTTACCCAAATGTTCTTGGAGTTGACGAAGCAGGCGGGCCGTAAAACGGGGTTGCTGCTTGAGGTGTGTGTTGTGAAGGCGCCATTGGTGCTCAAGGAAAGGCTGTAGGTGTTGAACTAGGGATGGTGGAAGCCCTTGTAGTTTGAGCCATTTGGTATAGGCAGTCTTGAAAATGAGGAAGTACCGAGCTTTGCTTGGGTAATAGGTGCTGTTCATATTGGCGTTGAGGAAAATGCTGAGGTGTGTAGGGAGTTGGAGTTGGTCAAGTGTAAGGATGTAGTGGCCATTGATGGTAGGGGTATCGGGATCCTGCAGGAGTGTGCGAAGGTGATCGCATGCACAGGGGAGGTCTGCTGGATCTGGCGGGGAGTGGAGGGTGTCCTCCCATGTGCGGTGGTTGTGCAGGTGGGAGCGGAGGGTTTTGTGGGCGGCTTCCCTCAGTCTGTGGGAGGGGAGGTGGAGGGGAATGGTGAAATGCTTGTGCTGCTGGATGGTGGTACGAAGCCATTGTTGGCAGTGCTTGGTGAAGTCGTCATGGGCCAAGAAGGGCACTGTCAGTGGGATGTTTGGCTTAGGTGGCGTGAGGTTGCGGTAGATCAAGGCTTTGTTGAGGATGTGAAGAGCTCGGCTGCGGCCAGGTTCTTCCAAATTTGCGGCCATACGCCGGATTGCATACACCTCGAGGTCCGTGTGGCGGCCGCTTCTTATCTGTTTTGCTGCCTCAAAAGAGGCTGCGGTGTGTTTGGTAAGGTTGCGAAGAAGTTGGAGGGCGTGATGCTTAGTGGAAGTGTAGAGGTGTGGTTCTCTGAGGGTGTACTGGCGTTGTCGAAGGCGTCGGAAAAGTCGTTTGTGGGTGGCTACGCGAACTGCCATCCCTGAGCTTTGAGTTTAAGGTGGTGGGAAATGAAAGGCCAGTTGAGTGAAGGCATCCAGTTGGCGATGTAGTGGTGCTCTTGGATCCAGGCTTGGTCGTATGTGTCATGGGAGGTGAGTTGAATAGTGGTGTAGTGGTGGATGTTGTTGTGTGAATGCCAATAACGTAAGGAGAGTTCTGCAGAAATGGGAATGTTGTTTTGGAGTTGTTTGAGTTTGGCGCGGCGATTGTGCTCGCGGTGTGGGATGCCGATAGCTGTGGAGCCAACGTAGAAGTGGCCATGTTGATGGTAGCAGCGTTGGGGTTGGTCGGGATTGAAGTGGAGCTTGATGTAGACGGAATTGGAAGAGAGGAAGTTGTGGTAGTGGTAGGTGTGGGGTAAAATGTGGAGCTGGCGGAGGCGGTTGCGCCACTGTTGTGAGCGACGGGTGTTGGAGGGGTATGCGAAAAGAAGTGTGATGTGGATGAGGCCGGTTGCAAAGATGGCCTCGGCGCGGTCGATGTATTGGGTGCGGTGAATGAGGATGGAAAGTGCTCGGCGCAGGTGGAAGAGTTGGG